TGCAAGACCATCAGAATGCGAATCAGATCGCTGCTCGGCAAGTCAAGCTAGAGAGTGCCTATGCTGATCTCGTGAAGGAATGCAACAGAAGACGAACACAACTTGTGGATGCTGGACGATATCACCGATTTGTGCGACAAGTGGATGATTTGTCTGACTGGCTTCATGATAAGGAGCACCTGGCATCGTCGGAAGACTATGGTCGCGATCTTGAAGACTGCGTACAACTTACAGAGAAGTTTGAGACCGTCGTACGTGAGCTGGCAGCTGCTGGAGAACGAGTAGCTGCTGTACAAAGAGCTCAAGAAGAATTGCTTAGAAGTGGCCATCCCTATGCGGCATCCATCCGTGCCAAAGGAACTGATCTCAACAGTTTGTGGACCTCAGTGAATGAAGCGGCAACGGAACGACAGCAGGCCTTGGCTGGAGCACGACAGGTGCATAGATTCGATCAGGAAGCCGATGAGACGCTGAACTGGCTTGGCGACAAGGAAGCAACCGGTGTAGCTATGGAAAATGAGGATCTTGCCCATGCTGACTTGGCAACGATCAAGGTGCAAATGCAGCGCCATGATGAATTTGTACATGGAATGAGAGCCGTCGAAAAACAAGTAGCTGAGCTTTGCCGTGAAGCTGAACGCCTATGGACTGCATTCCCGAACACTCGCGAACATCTTGAAGTACGTAAGATGGACATGGAAGAACAGTTGAAGGATATCTTGGAAGGAACAAGGAGACATCAAGAGAGGCTACAGCATATGGAGAGCCTACAAGCTTATTTCCAAGAATATCGAGAGTTGATGCAATGGATGAAGACCATGCAAACGATGATGACATCGGAACAACTGCCAAGAGATGTTGCTGGATGTGAAGCACTAGCTCGGCGTCATGATGAGTATAACTTGGAAATGCAGGGTCGCAAAGCTCACATCGATGAGTTCAACCGCCAGGGTAAACAAATGATCCAGTCAGGGCATGTACTCTCTCAGGAAATCAATGAAAAGGTACGGTAGCCGCTTCGTTATTTACCTTTCTAGTCTCCAAAAATGAAGTTGCAGGTTGAGAC